ACTAATCACGTTATTGGTAATAGATACGATAGTTGGCAGGTGGCCTGCTCTTCCAGAGAGGAGGCGAGAGCTGAAAACTAAAGGAGGCTTCGAGGGTGTACTGGGGAACAAAGAAGTAACCGTTCAACCAAGTATATTGAAATACTGTCTGTCGAAGACTGCCCTTTCTATCGTAGAAACAGGCGGTCTTTAAATACACAAATCTGTTCATGTCTTAATATGAACGAAACTAATCAAAGGTATCAATCGATACACTTTGGTAAAAAACTCCTTAAGTATCAAAGCGATACTTAAAACAAAACATAAAACAAAACCAAGTATCAAACGATACTTAAAACTAACCAAGTATCAAGGCGATACTTAAAACAAAACATAAAACAAAACCAAGTATCAAACGATACTTAAAACTAACCAAGTATCAAGGCGATACTTAAAACAAAACATAAAACAAAACCAATAACCAAGTACCCGTACCAGTTACAATAGTACATTCATAAAATTGAAGTCACTATACTTCAATGCCCATTCCAGACTTGCTGCTTTGACTTTTAGAAACAGAAAAGGCTTTCTTATAGGACAACAATGGTGGATACCATTAACAGCCAGTATATTAGAGAGAGTATTACTACAAATACTTAGTCTTAATTCTGATATCAGCTCATGAAGTAGCTTCCAGCTGTGGATAGTATCTTGAAAGGCCAGAGCAATAACACACTGTTTTTCAACAGCATTTAATGCCTTACAATAGCTCTTCTGTGAAGTTGGAGAGGGACGTAGATTATCTTCAGAGCACGCATTTTGAATTTGGGTCTGTTGAATACAGAGGGTGGAGTTGTGAATAATATCTGAGCAGGTTGACATTGGTACATTGGCTTTTGTAGATATTTCGTTCAAGGAAAGTAGCTAGGATCTAGGCAAATTTGTAGGTGGAACTATCTGACCCTGCTTGGATAAAGAGGTTGTCAGTCCTCATTGCTGTACCATACTTGTTTCACTGCTCTGAGGAACAAAAACTATACTAGTGTCTTTTAGCAAAATCCTCTCTGAAATTGATCTTCTCCTTGACTACTATAAGGGTAGTATAAGTATAAGAGTATCTTACTGAGAATGCTGAAACTGAACAAAACTGCAAATATTAAGCACTTTTATTGATGGCAATTGTTTATTCTCTCTATACTCCAAGTATTTATGCTGAGATTAAGCCTGCTATTCTAATGACCTCATCTCGGACCATCACTACAGCCATTATTGCTCTATTAATTTTCATTACTCTTTTGCCTTATTTTTGTTTTGAGATTGTGTATGACATCGCTACTCTAATTTTATATCATTTCCACTAGTTCCGGAATACTACTTATGGTTACCAGATTCGGAATACACAATGAGAACATAGATACCCTTATGATTGGTAGATCTTACCACACTTGGGGAAAATATGAGTAGTTGGACGGTCATCTTGAAGTCGCATACCCGAAACTAGTAGTAATCGTCGGTCCAATAGGAATTAGTAACTTGTTGTATGCACTACTGAATTCAGTGGCCTATGCAAGAACACGCGGGTACTCTCGTCCAGAGTTCATTCGAACCACCACCACCCCTGCAGGTCTATCTTTGAGTGGACATCATATCAGGGCCACTAGGGAGGTTCTGCACCAAGGTGCGCACCACGTTTCCACAGCAATGGGGTGGTAAAAGTGGCTGGTGATGGTTTTTTTTATAATGCACACTAATTTTTGCACCATGTACGTGCAGAGGTGATGCAGATGTGTTTACATAGTAAACAGAGGTTTTCTTAGTTAGAATACGGTAATAAAGGCATAGCTTATGCAACAACAGGTAAGTGTGTAGAGACAAACATCACCCATGATAAATATCCTATGATGAACTTGAACATCCTACACGTCACAACTATCCTCCTTGCTACTGTGGCAGCAGATCTGAATACAAGAAAAATCTTAAATTCAATCATCCTCCACTAAAGACGAAAGTCTGAAACTGTTCAAGTCTCACTTTTCGGTCTTACAAGAGTCCTTAAAAACTATTCACAAAAAAGAAAAATACCATATCAGCAGTTTGAATGGAGTATTGAAGACCAAACTGATAATTGATGTATCGAGTTTTTAAGGTTCAATAAAGCTCAAATTATAGAGCTTGCAACCCTGTTACAAATACCAGATACCTTCTGTTACCGCTATCATGCCAACTCCGTTATTGCCCTTGCCGTTACTCTCTACAGATTGTCTTATCCGCGTCGCCTGAAGCAAAGCATTAGCATTTTTGGTCACGAGTGCAGGTGGCTTTCCACCATATTTAACAATGTATGTTCTCAACTATACCAATATTTTGCTGGAAAGCTTCACTGGGATTCAGAGTTCCTATCGCCACAATGGTTAGCAAAATATTGCACTGCAATTGCAAATAAAGGGGAACCAACTGGCCTGATTTAGGGGTTTATTGATGGAACCCAACGGCCAATTTGCCGACCTGAATCAGAAATCGCTGATCAAGTACTATTTTACAGTGGCTACAAAAAACAACATACAATGCAGTTTTAGGCAATTACCACTCTAGTTGGGTTAATTGCAAGCCTATCTGGACCATGGAAAGGATGGTTAGGTGATTGGGCAATATGGGTTAATTCAGAAATTAGAAAAGTACTGAGTCAGTATGGAAGGAATGTATTTGAGGAACAGCTTTATGTTTATGGTGATGCTGCATACTTAGTTGAAACTGGGGTTATTGGTGCATTTTCAGCACCAGCTGGCAGTGTTTTAAGTCAGGAAAAAGCAGTTTTTAATGCCTATATGGCAAAGCAAAGAATGTCTATTAAGTGGGGCTTTGGAAAGGTTTTATAATATTTTACATTTTTGGGTTTTAAGTATAGTTTAAAAGTAGGACTTTCACCAATTACAACATGGTATTTAACAGGAGTTTTGTTAACAAATTGTCATACATGTTATTATAGTTCAAATACCGTGGATACTTTTAGCTGTTTTCCTCCTACTATTAAAGAGTATCTTTGTACTAAATTATCAAAAGAATAAGTATTATATTCTAACTACTAAACTTTGATGCCATTAAAGAAAGAACCTGATCAAGTTTTTCCTTAACTTCTCCTGACTGCTCCTCAATCCGTTGAATTCTCTCTTCCAGTCTTTTTATTAGCTATGACGACTCATTTAACTATTCTGATTCTGAACTTACTCCAACTACATTCCTGATTATATGCTCCCAGCAGTCCATCTGCTCTGCTTGCATATTCCTTGGTGAACATAAAGTTTCTTGATCATCTTCTTTTATCGAGCTGAGTATCTGACTTGTTATTTGTCGCTTCGAGGTAAAGGGTTTTATTATAGTAATATCACTATCTATTAATATTAAATTAGTGGTTATATAACAATAACAGTAGTTTATGGAAAGACTTTTATACTTACCGGAGGCAGGGTCGGTATCCTCTCCGGTAGCGGTCCCCCTACTGCAATTCTATAATTCTACCAGCCCCTCCAATTCATTAGATCTTTGCTTCCACTGTTTGAAAAAGCCATATATTATATCTTCTCTTGTCTGAATCGCTTCTCTTTTTTCAGCTTCTACTTTTGAGCCTTTTTCTTCCTTTTGCTCCTTGATCAACCATTCATGGTCATCATAAAGCTCAATCCACTTGTCCAATGCTTGATTATAGTCGGTATCAGTACATGCAGTACCACTTTTCCCCCTCTCATCCCGAAGTTGAGATCATCTCATTGCCTCCCTTCTTTGAATAAAGCCTTTGACATTAACATCAATACCATACAACTCTCTATATTTGACTCTCATAAAGTCATAAAACTTTCCCTTGCCCTTTATATACAGATGAAAATGGTTACAACAAAGTTGGACCAAGCAGGCTTGAAAGTCATCATCCTTCAGCATAGTACGAGGTTTATTGATACCTGGTAGTGATTGGGTATTTCCTTGGATTAAGGGTTCTTGCATAAAGTGTTGGGATAGAATGGGGAACGTGGATGTTGTAGAAAGTGTGGAGGATGTTGGAGTTGCAGAGGTGATGGAAATTGTGGAAGGCGTGAAGGGCATGGAAAATCCAGAATGGGTAGAGAGTATAGGGGGGAACGTAGGATGAATGAACGATGGAGGGAATACGTAGGTAGTTGCTGGAACAAACTCAGACTCGGAAAATTGTGGTACTTGTTCTGAGACTTTCATAGTTTGCTAGTCTCATAATTTACTGTTAGTAATTATCACTCTCAGTAAATGTATTATAAGAGACAAGTTCCTAATACAATACATTTTTCCGAGAACTTTGCTCAATCTCGTCCAATTTCCTACCAGCATGGGACTCATTCATCTTGCTCATCATAGTACTGCCAGCTTAAGAGAATGCTCTATAACTCCTTAAGGTCAGTAAAACTTTTAACTCAATTCCTAACCAGTAGAAGGATTCAACTATACCCAGCTGGATCCAAGTCGCGACACAAATCCTCCTAGCCTCCAGGTAGGAACTCTCTGAAATCCAGCGTGCGTACAAGCTGACAGAAACGCTAAGGTCTCAAAAAAAAAATAAGAGTAGGATAGACAACCAAAATGAGTTTTAAGTTGATAGTAACGTTGATGTTAGAATAAGGGTGGGTTGAGCGGGTGAGCAGGAGACACATGATAAACAAACTGAAGTCACATGTTTTGTTTTGTCATTCTCACGATTGAACTGCGCAACAAGCAGAACCCCCCTTGAATTGATGCACCATTTCCGCACATGCACCACCCTGTTGTTGTGCGCACCCCAATGCAGAACCTCCCTACTGCTGAAGTCATTATTGGTCGAACCCGGAGGGGAACGGTTGGAATAGGAAAGAGGGAGAAAGACAAGTGAGAACTTACCCAAGCTCAATCCAAGCCATGGATTCGTACCGTAGAATCCCTCTGCCTGCGTAACCGAACAAAACACCACCAACCACCTCTCAACTCCGTCCCAATTAAACACAAATCCAACACCCCAAACCGTCATGGTGGCTCAAGACACCCCGCTAATCGCTGCAGTAAAGGAATTCGTGAATGACTACATGTCTAAGTATGATTCGTCCCACAATTACCAGCACATAGAGCGAGTCCTGGCACATTCCCTCTCAATCCTACACGCAGCGCAGGCCTCTCCGCCCGAAACACACTACGACGAAAACCTAGTTATCCTCTTGGCTCTCCTCCACGACGTCGGCGATAAGAAGTACTCCACCGCTACCACCACAACCTCCAGCACCGCCGGACCCGCAGAAGACTTCTTACTATCAGCCGGGGCATCTCCGGACCTTGCGTCTCTCTTGCAAAAACTAATTAACAACCTCTCTTACTCCCACGAGCAAACGAATCCTCAGCAGGTAGCTGAGCTGGTAAAGCAGCATCCGGAATTGGCAATCGTGCAGGATGCGGATCGACTGGATGCGATTGGAGCCGTGGGGGTTGGGCGGACCTTCACTTTTGGGGCCATCAAGAACCAGGAGGGAGGGATGGGGGCTGTTATTAGGCATTTTGATGAAAAGTTGTTGAAGTTGGCTGACGGGATGAAGACGGTTGAGGGGAGGAGGATTGCCAGGGAGAGGGGAGAGAGGGTTAAAGCGTTTAGGGAATGGTGGAGGGAGGAGGCTGGTGAGTGATGAGTAGGGCGTAGCATTCAAAATGATGCACTGTACTGTGCAGATCCGATGAGTGATTTATAGGATCACACAGCAATTGAGTCCAAATTGGTAGATACCCTTGGTCCCAATCATATTTCTCGAAACCCGTGTCTATCTATCATACCATAATGCGTTCGATCCCACAGGTGCTAAGTTAAATACCAGGTCAAATTGTTTCGTCCATCGATGCAACTGCAACTCCACCACCACTATAGATTTACTCCCTAGGCAACCACGACTACCCAGAATGAAGTGGAATCTTAGTTAGAGATTCAATAGATATAAGAAAATCCTCATGTGAAATTATAGAATAAAAAAATTAATACTTTGTGTACCATCCCTTTGCATCTAAAACAGCAGCCACTCTCCTAGGCATAGACTCCCACAGCCTTTCCAAAAAATCCCCCTCTATATCAGGAGTCCAAACCTCATTAAGAGCTTCTGCTAAATGTCTTCTAACAGTTTCTGGACTACCCTTAGTCTTATGAATATCAGGAAAGTGCTGGTGCAGCGTTTCCTTTACCCTCTTCCAACAGTGCTCAATAGGATTGAGATTAGGGAAATTGAGTGGCCATTCCATAACCTGCATATTTTCCTCAAACCAAGCTATAGAATCCTTTGCAGTATGTATCTTTGCACCATCCTGCTGAAATATAGGATCCCCAACTGTGTCCTCTACCTCCTGCCAGGCATCATCTAAATCATCTTCCAAAACCCTAATATATTCAAATATAAAGATCCTACCTCAGATAGTTAGTTCTTGGTAACAGGGAATGATCCTTCTCTTCTTCTTTCTTCTTCTTAGCAATTCAATAGCTCTTAGGCCTATGCCTACATTACTGATAGTACAAGACCTTTGTCTTCTATCTCTAACAAATATCCTAAGCTTTCTCTAACTCTACCCTGTATAGAGTTATTCTTATCGTAATAGCAATTCAGGTCATAATATTAATAAAGAATGTAAAGGTATTTTATATTTGTTTAAAGTAATAAGTAGGAAAAGTACTTAGAATTGAATCTAATTTTATTTCAACTCATACCGCAAATACTAGAGTATGATAAGCCACAGTGCTGGGCCTGCAGGGTATCGCATCCCGGATATCACTAACTACGAACTAACTAAACCTCCAACCCCATACCTCAAACATGTCTGCACCATGCCCTAACACAAACACTAAATACAAAGCCATCAACAGTAATGAAAATCCTCCTCAGCCCAGCCTACCTGCCAGCCAAGTAACCAGTACAAAATACAAAAATCCACTACCACAACCTGAATGTGACCCTATGATAACCTCCTCCACAATAGAAACCCACCTGAGTACCCCCACTCAATGATCCCAGGACACCCCGCCCACCACCCCAGCACCCACCCTGATTTCTAAATAAAAGAAACATCCAACAACCCAAGTGCATTGACCCGAGGCAGAGCAGACTTACTGGACGAGGATTTCCTAGTGAAGGGGGTACAAACTGTCGGAGAGAATCTGGGGGGTACCACAGTAGCAGCGCAATCCAAAAAGCTTGGCCTAAGCAGCCAGGATAATGTAGTCCATAAGCTGTCAACACCTGCCAGAACACCTCTAAGAATTTAAGTCCTCTTCCAACTTCTCAATGCTCTCTGCAGGCAGCGAACTTGCCACAGACCTTTTAGTTGCCAGTTTGCTACCACGAACCAGCAAAGGTAATGACCCTTCAGAGTAGGGGACAAGTGGTACAGGGGATGTCTGGTCTTGCTTGACTGGGCACTACTTGTTCTTCCTCTTCTCGCCTGTAGGAGCAGGTCTAGTAACAGGGGTAGACAGGCCACTCTCATTGCCACCTACTGCTACAGAGGGAATGCTACCAGAGGAGTTACTCCAACCAGCCACTGGCTCAGCCACAGAGGACTCAGGTACCCGCTCCTCTAAAGAGGGTGATACTACCACAGCTGGTGTCACTACACCACAGCCCAATCTACCCATACTAGGAGCAAGCGGCTCAATTAGACCTGAAGAATCAGGAGCCAGTCTATCCACACTGCCATCCACAACCAAAGCTACTGGAGGGGCTGAAATAACTGCTAGTACAATATTCCACCCAGGGAGCTTTTCTGCTAGACCCTAAGAATTCACAGGGTCTGGCCCACCCCCCCCCCAATTGAGACCACCGTAGTAACCGAAGTGACCGAGGGAATAGGTGAAGAGGAGATAATCGTAGGAGCTTCAGCCACCAAAATCGTAACTAAACTGTGAAGAGTCTCGTATTCAGAGGCCAGGGCAGGCAACAAGGTAGACATTTTGTTCTCAGCGTAATGAAGTCACAAAGAGAAGACAGTGATGTGAGGCTGAAAGTGAAGTTCTTCTTAACGGCACAAGACAGAACCACTAGTGAACATAAAGTGAACATGGCAGATAAGGTAGAGGCTCCTTTAGCCATTGAAACTGTGAGGTGGCAATGTAGATGAATAACCAAAAGGATAAGTAAAAGGAAGAATAGACTTCCAGCAAACGTACGAGGAGGGATAACAATGATGTCCATAAAAGGTAATTGAGGTTAAAGACTTGAAGCCTATCATGAGATAGAAATCAAGGGCTCTGATTGGATTGACACCAAATCTTCACATTCCGACATGGAGTAAAAGAAGGAGGCTGTTAGATGGAGACAACTTGATAGACTACAAAGTTGTCTAGGCCAATGGAGATTCGTTTCTGTAGACGGAGATTGTCTAGGAAGGCGTGGACTTTACTGGTTTCGTTTATGACTACTAAGAGCGAAGTAAAATAGGTAAAGTAGGGTAGAATCGTAAAAACAATATTACATTGTTAAGGTCTCTTCTCCATTGCTTGATGATGTCTAATGCTTGGAAGGCACTTCGATACTTATATTCCACGTCTGAGTGTTTGTGGACTACATCTATTTATCATACAACTATGCACTTCTTCAATCGTAATTCGCAATGTCGAGTTTTCTTCCAAGGTGCGAACACCTGTGGACTCTGAAAACCATCACACCCTCTTTGATAATTATGATATTTCTTCTTAGGAAACATACTGTCTCCAATAGTAATATTCTGATTAGCATAGTCTTTAAACTTATGGCCTAGTTCTTAAGTTGAACTGAGTTGGCTCCAATTGTTTTCGCCATTGATAAAATGATCAGTTTTATCCACGGCTATATCTGCAAAGGTGGTCATCATTACAACCATTGTAGGTCGTCTGACTCCGATTCTTTGTAACTCCATACTCAACCCATAGATTTTCTCTGGATGACTTCCTCTTAAATCGCAGGAAGCTATTCCACCAGATTGGTAATTAATCCCTCGGTCGGTAACCCTTGGTTGCTCTCTGGGTAGTAGGTTTCAGTAAGCATTGTAGTATTGAGAATTACCTCATGGCTACGACATCTTCCGAAACCTAGTTGCAACACTCCGTGAAGTTCGTTGGCTTCTTTGGTAGTGTCTTTTGGAGTTCTAGACTCTTCTGGTGTATGTAAATGTATTGGTCTCTAGTAGAGATCCTTTACCATTTGATACCATCTCTTTGTGCGAAATCGTCCCGTTACTTACGGCCCATGCCAAAGATGTCATGTCTTTGAAGCCAAGTAGGTCTCTGAGTAGTTGACAGAATCACTCCGTCCCACTTCTCAGACCTAGCCGAAGGTCTCCTCTCATATATGCTGTGAACAGGATCTAGTCGGACAGATAGCGACGACATATATGGTGTTATTCTAACACCTTTAATTCTGTAGTAATATAGTCACAGGACGCAACTGAGATTGATATATATGATGACATGCGGGTCCCGTAAGGGAGCCGGAGGGGGGTGTTGAAGACCAGAGATTCCGATTCCAAGTGGGGTTACCCTACTTAGGGTGGTTCCTAGGTATCGGGTTCTGGTATTCCTAACAGTCTTGGCTGTGTCAGGGCCAATGCTGGTTTCTTTGCCCTCTAGGCTTTCATCCTCCTCATCAGAGGTCTTTGTCCTCTTCTCCTTGGTTGGGAACCAGTTATAATGCTCTTTAGCGTCCTTATATGCCATGCATATATTGTCTGCGCATGCTGTTTAGCTGTAGATTATGTGGTCCTGTTTTTCCTTCTGTTGTTTTTCTTCCTCTACCATCAATTCCCATTTGGCAGCATCTGTGGGAGGACTCTTCAGACTAACCTTGTCTTAGTAGTACTCTTGACCTTCCGGAGAATCCTTTATGGTCACTCGCTAGCTTGAAGGGATAGTGTTGGTGCAACTGCTCGATGACCTGATGTGCGTTCATAAAGTTTCTAGCTGGATACCACTCTTGCTCGTATTGTGCAGAGTAGCTGGTCCACTTAGCACAGTATTGAAAATGACCGTAGTGTAGGTGAGAGTAACCTATCTCTTTGAGTTCGTATTTAGATTCTCCATCAAGTTCAATCAGAGGAGGAGAAGTAATTCTCTTTGAGAGTAATTTGTTGTCTATATAGGGTTCAATGAGGGAGATGTAGAATGTGTTGTGTATTTTCATTCACAAGAGGAGGTCGAGTTTATAAGCTCGGCCTCCAAACTTTTCCCAAGATTTTGAATAGTCCCATCTTGCAATAATCTAATTTCTTGGATGGTCTGGTGGTCTTGATATGACGTGGCAATAGCCAGACCATATCTCCTGATTGAAGGTTCGGATGGGGTATTCTATTTTGATCGTAGTAGTTCTTGGGTTATAATTGGACTGAGACGATTTCCATCTATTGGCTTTCATGTAATTGACTAATATCTTTATTTTCCGTTATCTCCTTAGATAGCATATAACCTATAGCCTGATGTTCCATATTTTGTCCATAATTCGCGTAAAAGAATGTTGTCTTAATTGTCTCTTATTATACCTTATTGTAAGCGAATTCTGTTATGAGTAGTAATTTGCCCCAGTTGTCCTGTTGATAATTAGCGTATGCATGTAGGTATTGCTCAAGAATCTCATTTATCATTTCCATCTGTCTATCTGTCTGTAGATGGAATGCTGTACTT